ATTGTGATAACCGAAATGATGACAACCTGAAATTTATATGTTTTTCATTTAAAATTTTAGCATTGGGTTTTTAGGGAGGAAAATAAAATTCTGTGGACGATAGGATTTTGAGGTTTTATAAGAGAAACCACAATTTTTGATCACATTTTAATTAATCGAAGGTGTGGAAACATTGATAACAAATCTAGGTGGGAAATCTGTATATCTTTAGTCTTTAGGCTAACTGCATCATATACACGACAAAAATGTGACTCATCGATGTATCGGTTTAAGACTCTAAGTGTCTTTGGACAATATCCATTTCAGACAATTTGAAGTCAAGAGAAAATATTCCTTAAAATAATATGGACTGGGTATCAGTCCTTTGGGAATTAATATTTATACCCTACACAACTATGTTGTCAGGGTATTATATCTTTGTGGAGCCCCAAGAGTTTGTAACGCCGCGAAATATTGGTCATAGACTCACCTTTAAGTATGCCGATCATATCATATCGGTATATTTATCTCGACTAGCTGAGTCGATCTAGACATGTGTGTCCGTCCGTGCGTCTGTCCATTATATTTGGTAAACACGATGCAGGCCACAGTTATGGACCTATCTTCAAGAACTTTTGCATGTAGGATGGGTTCGGCCTAATGAAGACCCCTATTGTTTTTGGTAAAGATCGGATAACATTTAGGGGATGAAATGGACCAAATACTTAATTTGTGTCGGCTTTTCTGGTCGCTCCAAAGGCCGCTATTATGGCCCAAACATCTCGAATTTTTACATGGAGAAGGGGATTGGGTCATAGAATAAGCATACCTGTTTTGATAAAGATTGGTCAATATTTAGCGGTTCAAATGGACCCTGACTTTTTTGTGAAAAATTACAAAATTTGATGATCAAATAACAATTCGGGATGAAGTGAACCGAAAACTTTTTTGTTTTTTGTCACAATTATAAACCGAACATCACAACACCGCCCACGGTGAAAGGAATCTGGACAACTAATTAGAGGGGCGGATGTACTGAATATTATTCTCGAATGTTTCTCTGAATTTAAATCAAATTCGAAGATAGGTTAAATTATTTCACTCCTCGTTATTTCACTCCTCCACAAAAATCGAAAAAAATCCTATTTATTCCAAAATTATGTATTGTAATTTTTTTACATAATCTATATTACTTTTGAATTTCGAGTCTATTGGCCCAGTTTTCAGAAAGGATCAACATTTTTAAAATATCTAAATCCTAAAAGAAGCAAACGGATTATACAATTACGATTTCTCCCAATTTCAATAGGGTTCGTCCTTGGGCCAAACAAATGAGCTGTGCCAAATTTCATTCAAATCGGATTATAAATGCGACCTGTACTTTGTTTACAATTTAACACCAACATACGGATATTACAGCTTTAATAAGCTAAAGGTTACACCGAAGAATAATTGCGAACTTGTTTTTATACCCAACACATAAGAATAAAGGGTATATTAATTTTCTCATTCCGTTTTCAACTCATCGAAATATTAATTTCCGACCATATAAAGTCCAATTTAAAGTTATTGATCAAAGTAAAATTATATTATCGATTTAGTTATGTCCCTTCGCCTGTTGTCGGTTTACTTGTAGGTATTGCCTCCATATCACATTCATTTTTTATACTTCAGATTTTTTCAATCGAATTGGCTGTGATTAGATATTGTGGGCACACATTGGGTTTTAATTCTCCCTACTCGAAATTAATCAATACGTGATCTACGTTTTAGGATAGCTGCATTTTTATATAATATTAATTTAGTTTATCTCTGTTGTAATCACGCTAACTTCCGAAGGAATCGGGAGTGTGAGGTTCGAACTGATATACTGATCCAAATTAAGGCATAAGCCCCAAATAACAACTTCTCGATTTTTATTATTTTGTGGCCTTGGGATGAATTTTTAACCAAATTGGCTGATATTCTATATTATTGAATTATCATTGGGTAGCAAAGGTGTATAACAAGAAATATCAGTATTGGACCATAGTGAACATGAGCAAACTTACAAAATATCCTTTGATCAAAATTCTACTATGCGTATAATCAGAACAAACGACATTAATTTTGTATATAAGATTTCTAAAAGCTCAACATGAAAACCCATCATTTGTACATACAATTAGGCCAAAGCTTCTTCTAAAGTTAGTTGATTATCGACATAATTTTTGTACAGCGAAGTCCTTTTGCCATAATTCAACTGACATTGCTGACTATCTGCGCAGATAAAATTTCTTCTAACAATGATATTAAATAAAAGACATATTTGTTTTCAGTTGGTCACTTGGTCAATCACAAATTTATTCAAATCCATTATCTCTGATTTACTTCTTCAACAAAACTGGAGCAGCGGCGAAGGTGGTGGCTACTGGAGCAGCAACAGCGGCGGCAGGGGCAACAGCATAGGTGGCTGGGAAGGCAGCAGAGTGGGCAATGGTATGGGCATTGTAGCTGCTGGCATAGGGAGCAACATAGGCAGCACTACCAACGACAGCGGGGGCAGTGTGGTAAGCCAAAGGAGCAGAGTAGGCCAAAGGTGTAGAATAAGCCAAGGGAGCGGTATAAGCCAAAGGAGCAACTACACCGGGTTTAGCGGCAGCAACAGCCAAGAGGGCGAAGAAGCAGACAGCGATCTAGAAATATTTTTAAATTATAAAAATTAGTACATTGACAAGTTATTCCTTTAGTTTCTAAACAACTTACGAATTTGAACATTTTGTTAAGGTTTGATTGGGGGTGGTTTGTCGGTTTTGATTGACAATTTAAAATTGATACTTTATTCCCAAAAATCCATGGCTTTTATAATGAATGTCCGGAGTGAAACCATTAATTGGTATACAAGACACGTATTTACCTCAAACGGTTAAGTACGTTTTACCTACAGACATACTAATCGAATATGTTATTTAGACTATATTTTTTATGGCTAACGATTGAATTACATTGAAGTGGTAAATTATCGAAATGGCTAAACCGGAACAATATTATCTATTACGGTCATGATTCACGCATATGACTAATAATTACAATTATATAATGACCGTGAGAATTTCGAAAAATCTGGAACCAAATGATAATAAGTAAACAAATTTAGCTTAACAATTTAGACTGGAAACATCACAAATGTGTGGATTTTTTAAGAAACATTTTTAAGGACATTTAGGAGCTTTGAAGATGATTTCGATGCAGACATATTCGTGGATTTATTCTAGAATATGCGCATATTTCTTTAAGCGAAACCCCCTGACACAATAAATCGGCTATATCTTCAAGGATTGTTGAGTTGTTGTTTTATAGGGACATTCTTCAATTAGTGTAGGTTCGAATCAAATCAAAAAACAAAATTAAATTTTTTGAAGCTGAGAATGGGTGAAAATCATATTTTCAAAAACTTTCCCATCTGTATGTGTGAACATTTTCGAACAAACATTTTCTCCTGGATTCTATAAGAATAGATTCTACGCAATCATAAATTTGGATTTATAAATTAATATTTTCCCAAAGACAATCACAACGACAAACAAGGGCTCTCACAACTATAAGCGTGGATTTTAAAGAATTTTACTCGGGGACAATCACATTATTCAACGAGGATTTTTAAAGAATATTTTCTGAAGTAGTATAACATAAAATACTCTCATATATTTTAAAACACAAACTTAAGCTTAACCAGTGAGCGGTTAAGCTGTATAGTCGGACGGGGCCGAATATACGATACCCTACACAACAAACTTTCTGCTGATTTTTATTCCGAGCCTGGGCAATATTTCGTGATAGTTGCAACCTCTTGTCCGATTAAAGTTCAACAGCACCCCTTCCTTACACTGACATATTTTTCGAATATAACTAATATTCAGTACAGCCCTTCTAATTCTTATCCAGATTTCCTTCACCGTGGGTTGTGTTGTGATGTTCGGCTTTCAAATGTTGCCTATAGATCGACTCGGAAATACACAAAAAAATTAGTTTTCTGTCCACTTCATTGCAATATTATTATCTGATCATCACCGAAATTATAAGCATTGTCCTTGACCACAACTGGAATCTCACGGAAAATTTCAAAGCAATCTGCGCTATATTTCCGCACTAGTATGGTACTAAATAATATACCAGTACGTAAGCACCTGTAAATATTTAAGTGTAACTCCCACATCCCGGTACATAAAACACAATTTTTGTCCTTTTTCACACAAAATATTTGCCGATCTTTATCAAAACAGGCATGGTTATTCTTTGACCCAATCCCCTTCTCCATGAAAAATTTCAAGATGTTCGGGCCATAATTGTGGACTTTGGAGCGACCAGAAAAACCGAAAAAATAGTATTTGGTCCATTTAATCCCCTAAATATTAACCGATCTTCATTAGCCAGAAACCATCCTGCATGCAAAATTTCGTGAAGATTGGTCCATAACTATGGCCTGTATCGTGTTTACAAATTATAAGGGACATACGGACGGACACACATATCTAGATCGAATCAGGTAGTCGAGATATGACGATCGGTATACTTAACGGTGGGTCTAGAAACAATATTTCGCGGCGTTATAAACTCTTGGGGCTGCACAAAGCTATAATACCCTGATAACATAGTTGTATAGGGTATAAAAATCGTTTTAGGATAACTATAAGAATTATGCATATTTCCCCCAAATATTCTTCAAGAATGATTTTAATTTATTTCAACAATAATGCCCGATTCACACTCATTTTTGTCCCTGCATATTTTTTTTAATTTCAGCTATAATTATACATTAAATCCGTTGTTTGAGTTGACCATTACCTTCCACAAGAGAAACAAATGTGTGACCAACACCAATAAAATGTACTTTAATAACTATTTTTAATGGTTTAAAATAAACAATAATATGTCAGTGTGTGTGTGTGTGGGTAATATGGATAAAGGTTTCGAGTGTTCGAGTTTTGCATACAAAATAAATATCAGTTTTAATTTTTGTTTGGTATATAAATCTCAGTGTTTTGATGACTAGGTATCAATTTTAAATTGTCAATCAAAACAAACAAACCTCCCCCAAACCTCAACAAAATGTTCAAATTCGTAAGTTTATTTGTAAATCCTGGTTATTTTTGTACTGGTACTAATCATTTTTCTGCTCAATTATTTAGATCGCTGTCTGCTTCTTCGCCCTCTTGGCTGTTGCTGCCGCTAAACCCGGTGTAGTTGCTCCATTGGCGTATACCGCCCCAGTGGCATACTCTGCTCCATTGGCCTACTCTGCTCCTTTGGCTTACCATGCTGCCCCCGCTGTCGTCGGTAGTGCTGCCTATGTTGCTCCCTATGCCAGCAGCTACAATGCCCACACCATTGCCCACTCCGCTGCCTTCCCAGCCACCTACGCTGTTGCCCCTGCTGCCGCTGTTGCTGCTCCAGTAGCCACCACCTTCGCCGCTGCTCCAGTTTTGTTGAAGAAGTAAATCAGAGATAATGAATTTGAATAAATTTGTGATAGACCAAGTGACCAACTGTAAAAAAGAATATGTCTTTTAATTGAAATCATTGTTAGCTGAAATTTTATTTGCGCAGATAGTCAGTAATATCAGTTGAATAATGACAAAAGGACTTCGCTGTACAAAAGTTACGTTGATGATCAACTAACTTTAGAAGAAGTTTTGGGCCAATTTTATGTACATGTTGACATTTTAGAAATCTTATATAAAAATTAATGTCGTTTGTTCGCTTATATGTAGAGTAGACTTTTTACTAACGATACTTTGTAATACTCATGGCACAAGATGCCACTGCCATGTCACTTTTGATGCCAAACTTTAAAAATGCCCATGATTCTGAGTTACGTATGGTATTTGGGGGCTACGCCTTAATGTGGATCAGAATGTCAGTTCGAACCTCACCTAAATCGATAATATAATTTTACGTTGATCAATAATATAAAATGGACTTCATGTGGTCGGAAATTAATATTTTACTGATTTGAAAACGGAATGGTAAAATATTTGGAGGGTATAAAAACAAGTTCGAAAGTATTCAGAAGTATTGCCAACGGATAGATACCTTTAACCTATTAAAGGTGTAATATACGCCAATCCAGATATTTGTACGGTATTTGGTGCAATTTTTAGAAGGGTCTGTTATTATGTTTGGGTCGTCCAATTGTATTGACCATCTCTGTATATTATTTTAGTTTGGTAAACATATTATTTGGAAAATTTTAATGAAATTGGGGGTTCATTTCAAATTTTATGAAATTTATGGTTGCAAAATTGTTAACATTTGTAGAGGTGGTAGCAGAAGCAATGGACGAATAGAGTCCAGATTTGTACTAAATCTATGTTCAGTTGAAATATCATTATTTAACCCTTTGTGCGACAGCAGAAGGATGGATACAAATATTACACATTATAATCAATATTTCTCTCTCCACATATTATAATCAATATTTTGACCATTTTGTGTGGTGGAGATTCCAGAAGGAATGAACTAATCCATCTTTGGATATAATCTTTGTTTGCTGACAATAGCACATTAAACGAAATGGGATAATCAATTAGCTCTATATGAGATATGCTGTGGGTGGACTGATAGTATATATAAGTTCTGACTTAACGTAACTTTAATTGAAATGTTTCGATGTGAAAAGTCGACATCCACTTGTATTATCCGTTTGCTTCATTTGAGATCAACATATTTTAAAAATGTTGATTCTTTATGAGAACTGGGAAATAGAACCGAACTTTGAAAAAGATATAAGTTATGTAGAAATGTTACATTACTCCAGTCTGAAATAAATAGATTTTTTTCCGGTTAAAGGAAGGTGGTGGCTACTGGAGCAGCAACAGTGTAGGTGGCTGGGAAGGCAGCAGAGTGAGCAATGGTATGGGCATTGTTGCAGGAGGCATGGGGAGGAACATAGGCAGCACTACCGACGACAGCGGGGGCAGCATGGTAAGCCAAAGGAGCAGAATAGGCCAAAGGAGTAGAGTAAGCCACTATCTTCGAATTTTATTTAAATTCAGAGAAATATTCGATAATTCTAGCGCACACCCGTCAGGAAGACAGCCAGGCGGAAATTTCTACGTCATGGTGATAGGCCTGGAGCTTTTAAAATATATGTTCTTAAGGGTTTGTATAGCTATTAGCTTGGATTAAAGAATATTTAATATTCTCAAAGACTGTAGTGGCAATGAACGGGGATTTATGAAATACAATTTTCTCAAGGTCTATCAAATATATATTTAAAAAATATTAATTCCCAAAGGACTGACACCCCTATAACCATATTATTTTAAGGAATATTTTCTCTTGACTTCAAATTGTCTGAAATGGATATTGTCCAAAGACACTTGGAGTCTTAAACCGATACATCGATGGTTCACATTTTTGTCGTGTATATGATGTAATTAGCCTAAAGGCTAAGGATATACAGATTTCCCTCCTAGATTTGTTATCAATGTTTCCACACCTTCTATTAATTAAAATGTGATCATAAATTGTGGTTTAATTTATAAAACCTCAAAATCCTATCGTCCACAGAATTTTATTTTCCTCCCTAAAAACCCAATGCTAAAATTTTAAATGAAAAACATATAAATTTCAGGTTGTCATCATTTCGGTTATCACAATTTATTCAAATCCATTATCTCTGATTTACTTCTTCAACAAAACTGGAGCAGCGGCGAAGGTGGTGGCTACTGGAGCAGCAACAGTGTAGGCGGCTGGGAAGGCAGCAGAGTGAGCAATGGTGTGGGCATTGTAGCTGGAGGCATAGGGAGCAACATAGGCAGCACTGCCGACGACAGCGGGGGCAGCATGGTAAGCCAAGGGAGCAGAGTAGGCCAAAGGAGCGGAATAAGCCACTGGGGCGGTATAAGCCAAAGGAGCAACTACACCGGGTTTAGCGGCAGCAACAGCCAAGAGGGCGAAGAAGCAGACAGCGATCTAGAAATATTTTTGAATTATAAAAATTAGTACTTTTCACAAGATATTCCTTCAGTTTTTAGACAACTTACGAATTTGAAGACAACTTACGAATTTGAACATTTTGTTAAAGTTTGGTTGGAGTGGTTTGTTTGTTTTGATTGACAATTTGAAATTGATACTTTATTCCCTAAAAATCACGATTTTTATAGCGAACCTGAACAACGTAAACACTACTTGATATGCAAGGTACGCATGTACTTCAAAAGGTTAACCATGAATCACCTACAAACATACTAATCTATTACGGGTATGGTGTTTAAACTTTGTTTAATATGTGATTACGATTGAATTATATTTAATTGATAAATTACCCAAAAAATCTTTTGAGTTGAGGTAGGCAATGGTCAACCCGGAACTATGTTATGTAGTAACAGACGTGATGGCCACATTTTGTAGATGAATGGTCTATTGCCAAGTGGAATTAAGAATAATTCAAAACACATAAATTAGGGGATTTCAAGAGGAGATTTTTAAAGGATATTTAATAAAGAACTACCATATCAATATGCTTCGACTTTTAAATAAATTTTTTCTGGGGATGTTAAATCTATAAGCGATGATTATTTGAAGAGTTTTTTCCTCAAGGACTATCACAGTTTATCACAGCATGACAAAGAATTTGTACGGAAGATTTGGGATTTTTAAAAACATTTTTCTCCGTGATTATCACAGATATAAACTCATATTTTTTCATCATATTTTCTCTGTAGTGTTATAGTTAAAAACTTGGACCTTAGTGGGGATATTTTCTCAAGGACAATTTTAGCTATATAATTGCGTATTTTTTAAAAGATTATTTAATCAAGCCCATTTTTTAAAAGTATCATTGCTAAAGAATGTATTTTCGATCGTGGATTTTACAAAAATGTTTTATATAAAAATATTTTCTTAAGGATTGTCACACCTACAAGGGTCGAATTTCATAATAGTATTTAGTCAAGAATTATGACAGCTATAAGCGGAGAGTTTTTAAAGAATATTATCTCAAGAACTGCCACTATTAAATGTATTATGTAATTTTTTTTCTCAAAAGTTATCGAAATATGGGAGAGGATGTTTTTGAATGACCTGTTTATTATAGACTCGGAGCTTTAAACGTATGTCACTTAAAGATTATTTTCGCAAAAATTTCCATACTTGTTTTTCCATAATTATAAACGTAGTTTTTATACCCTACACAGCTATGTTGTCACGATATTATAGCTTTGTGCAGCTCCAAGAGTTTGTTTGAGTATACCGGCTAGCTGAGCCGATCTAGACATGTGTGTCCGTCCGTCCGTCCGTCCATTATAATTTGTAAACACGATACAGGTCACAGTTATGGACCAATCTTCACGAAATTTTGCATGTAGGATGGGTTCTAGCCAATGAAGGCCCCTATTGTTTTTGGTAAAGATCGGTTAATATTTAGGGGATGAAATGGACCAAATACTAAATTTTTTCGGTTTTTATGGTTGTTCTAGAGGTTGCAATTGTAGCCCAAACTTCGCGAATTTTTACATGGAGAAGGGGGTCGAGCCAAAGAATAAGCATGCCTGTTTTTATAAAGATCGGTCAATATTATCGGGTCAAATAGACCCTGATTTTTGTGTGAAAAATTACAAAATTTGTATTCTGTGGCGTATATATTTACTCCTGAAGGACATAGACTCGAGAAGTTGATAGTATATCCAAGAGGAGTGGTTGGCATTTAAATTGATACCAATTATATTGTCGTATATACTTGGATGTGGGAGTTACACTTAAATATTTACAGGTGCTTACGTATTTAGATATTATTTAGTAACACATTATCACAGTGGAGGGCGCAAATATAGCGATGATCGCTTTGAAATGTTCCATGAGATTCCAGTTACGGCCAAGGATTTCTCGGTGATGATCAGATAATAATTCTGGGATAATGTGGATCGAAAACTTGAGTTTTTTTTTTTTTTTTTTTTTTGAGTCGATCTATACCGATTTTTTCCAATTTAAATAAGGTTCGTCCTTGGACCAAATAAGTGAGCTGTGCCAAATTTCATCCAAATCTGATAATAAATGCGACCTGTATTTTGTTCACAAAATTACATGGACGGACGGACATGCGTAAATCGACTCATATTCTCAAAAGGAACCATGTGTCTATCTCGTTTCATTTTGCCTGTTACAAACATATGCACAGATACATAATACCCTGTACCACAGTGTGGTGAAGGGTATAAAAAGCTAAAGTGATGTAAAAGCCTTTGAGAAAATATTAAAAAAAATCACACACACACTTATAATTTTAATATTCCTTGAGAAGGTTTTAAAACCAGTGACGCTCTCAAGCCGAATATGATACCTTACACAACTAGGAGCTAGGACAATATTTCGCGATATTTGCACACTCTTGACCGACTAGAGGTCAGCAAATATTACTAATATTCATTACAGCTCATCTAATTACTTGTCCAGATTCCCTTCATCGTGGGTTGTGTTGTGATGTTCGGCTTAAAATTGTGGCCTATGTTTGTAACAG